TATGCATACAGACAGGCTTAAGCCCAGAAAGGTCAAGAAGTATTCTAAGGCCACACAGTAAGTCAGCAAAGAATGAGGCAACACTCCCTTGCCTCCCACTCAACACAAGGAAGGATGGTAAAGACCACACACACACACACACACACACAGGCTTCTTTTACCCCCAGTCCTGGCTCCTGTTTCTGAAAACCTAAATATACTTGGCCCAGGAGATTGCTGCTGCAACGGTGATTTTCCATTCTCTCTAATACCCTCTGGCGGTTACGCTGTTGATTTTCTTCCTCGCTGCACAGTTTCCTCATTCCACAAGACACATGCACGCACATACCCATCCTCAAAATTATAAAACTCCTCCTTTTTCAAAAGCAAAAAAAAAAAAAGGTGAGGCCAGAACTGAAGTGATTCAAATACAGGAACCTTGTTCGAGTGTTAAATATGACCATAACTCTACCCAGAAGCACATCTGACAAGATGGAATTTGTTCTCACGGAGGATTCTTCGCCGACGATATATCACTTGCCAGTAACATTGTCATTTCTCCCACTGCTGCATAATCTCATAATGAATGCCCCAGATGAAACCCATGTACACAAGAGGGCAGACTGATGGTGCTTAAGGGACCTTTCCTTTATTGCATTGCTAACAGTTTGTTAAAGAACAGGCCAAATGTTACACGTCGACAAATAAATGACAAGAAAAAGAAATTTTCTTTTTCTGTTTTTAATAACAATGTGGGATGGTCAACAAGTACTCTTAGATCTTATCCATCCACTGTTCTCGCCACTATTTGCATACACAGAGCATGCAGCTGAGGTACAGCACTCAGCATGGAATCCTTTGAAACGATTTCCCTTGAACATCAAGCTTGCTTCCCTCCCAAACATCCCGTCTTCCAGCCACACGAACTACTCCTATCCTGCATTCGCACGACACACCTGAAGGTTTCCATGTGGTCCCACCTGCCCGGGATGCCTTTTCCTCTCTACCACCCTGGTGATATCAAACCCACCCTTTGAACAAACCTGCACAATAGCACTCGGCTCATAGTAACGGTTCAATGCCTGCCTCCCCGGAAAGACTGTAAACTAAACGTGCAACCTCTGGAGCCTCCACATAGAGCGTGGGATCTGTGATTATTTGTTGAGTTCAAAGAAAAAAAGTCTTCTAAAATACAGTTCAGTACACCTTAACTTTACTGGCTGCGGCCTACGGCTCTCCGAATATCAGAATGGTCAGAGGGAAACCAAGGCCTCTCAAAGTCAAATGCTCCGGGGCAGAGCAGCCAAGCCTGGTCAACACTAGTGGGTCCTGTGTGGTGGCTGTAATTCAGAGGTGTCCTCAAGGCCAGCCTCCTGCCTCAATGTCTCCCTCTACCTGTACCTCTGCCATCTGGCTTCTCTGAAATTCACAAGACTTCATCATGCCTTAGGACCATAGTATATCTCCTCTCCAAGACCAGTTTTCACTAGTCGATGCTCAATGGCAAATTTAATAGTGTTTTCCTGTTCCAATCTCTTACCCCTCGGCTAGACTGCACCTGTGAGAATCAATCTATAAAGCCTTAATAGCCGAAATAAAGCTTTATGCTGACCATTTTCCCTAGACCACAACAATCGCTCCCCTCAAACCACCTAAATAAGCACTAAACACAGGGGTAAATGATCAAAACCACCGTCGAGCAGGCCCCAGAGTTCAGGGAGATAGAATAACTCATGCAGGTTCACAGGTTCCAAACACAGAGTCTAATTCCACATGTCCACAAGCTGGGATGGGTCTTCAAACTCCACCAAGACCTAAATCTTGGCAACATTTGCCCTTTTTCGTGCCAGTATTCTAAACTGGGTCGTCTCTTCTTGGACTCTGCCTCTTACCTGTCCTGTCTTCCCACCTCTGGAGTCAGCTTTGATGAGCCCTGGCCACTGTGGATAAGGTGAGCCTGGGCAATGGGGCTTTGTTCTTCAGCAAAATAGAATTATCTTCCAGTTCTGCAGGAGGAACGCTAGACATGAATGATGCAATACTGTTGACCATGCAAACCTGGACACTAACCACTTCATACTGTTAGCAGTGTAACTGCATTGTCAAATGTCATGGTACATCTGTAGACAGCTGACACTTGGAAACCACGCCGGGTTTAGTGACACCCACCCACACACAGTGGAAAATCGACACATAACTTTTGACTTGACAGTGGGCGGTTCGCATCCACAGATTCAACCAATGGAAGATGGGAAAGTTATTTTTGATCCGCTGTTGGGGAATCTGTGGTTGGGAATGTGAAGATACTGTTTCCCATCAGGGTTTGATGAATCCCCGGAATTCATCGGGATAGGAAACGCCGACTATATTTCCTGAAAAAAAAAAAAAAAAATGTGCACATAGGGGCACCCACACAGTCCAAACCCCATTGTCCAAGGGTCAGCTGTAAATATAAGGAACGTACTTCTAAGAGGATGCTAGTGAGAAACTGCATGTTTAGTGGGGTCGAATCTGGACACCATCTAGAACGGAGGAAACCTGGTTTTATGAAACCTGCTGAGATGCGCGGTCCAAAATCCAAAAAGGAGACTTTTGATTACCAACTCTTAGGGAACTTCAAGTCAGCATGGTCTAATGCCCAAAGAATAGAGTTGGCAGGAGGGTCTGTCTCCCAAAAATGCATAGTGCTCATTGCCTGGCCAGTGTGACTCAGTGGTTGAGCGTCAACCTATGAACCAGGAGGCGGTGGTTTGATGGGTGTGCAGGAGGCAGCCGATCAATGATTCTCATCACTGATGTTTCTATCGCTCTCTCTTCCTCTCCCTTCCTCTCTGAAATCAATAAGAATATGTACATATTTAATTGTATAGCGCTCATATACTTGCAGATGATATCTTAAGTTTTTCAGTCTCACCCAACACAGTAACCCTTGGCAGGTCCCCTGTTCTGAGTTGTCCAGACGACACTTTCGATGTGAGCAGGCCCATCGCCAAGCACTGGGAACCCACTCATCAATGCAAGCACGCACTGGGTACCAAAACACTGGCTGCACGAGCCCTACAGGTAAAGCGCAGCTCTTTGCTACGTGGACCCTTGGGTTCCCTTCCCTGGTGGCGGAATAGAAAGCTGGTCCCCCTAGTGTCCTGCCACTGGAGGTGGCTTCCGATGGGAGACACTCCTCACGCTGCATCCAGTTTACAGCACAAGCTCAGGAACCCGGAACCAAACCTCCGCCGCCACCGTCCCCAGGACCTATGGTGAGTCGAAACCTTTTATTTCATTGCGGAGGCCCTTCTAGTTAAGGTTAAAAAGGCAAAGGAATCTGCATCCTCTCATATCAAAAAGTTAACCCACAACCCGGCCTACTCCACTAAGTGAAGGCGGCCCACACTTTGTTAGTGATGATTTCCGCCTGCTGGAGAGGAATCGATCAAAAACCTCTCTATCCTGGGGGGGCGGGGGTCCTTTCCCCACCACTCTTGAACACCCACTAAGATCTCAATCTTGGCGGCTTTTGCCTCGCTAACCCAGTTCGTTTTCCTCCCGGTATGGAATGAAGAGGGCCAGGCTGGAGAAAGGCGTGTTTTCCTCAAAGCAGTTTTCACTGAAGTGAAGTGCTCTCGAAGCATAAAGGTACACTAAGAGACGTGTGAAACCTTACAGCCGGGTGGGGGCTCCGCATGCCTGTGAGTCATTCATTCATGTCACCCACCTGTGCGAGACCAGACAAGAAAACCACCCCTTGTCCCTTTCCTAATTTAGAACCTGCCCTTACCTTAAGCCTATGAAAGCTGGCTCCTGAGGTGGGAAGACAGGCGAGCTGAGGAACACTAACCCGAGGTGACAGCCTCTACAAGTGAATAAGCGCTTTGGGTTCCCACCGTGTCACAGAGCCGGCATCAGCAGTAGGTGAAGTGGAAGCCCCACCTGCCTGCAACGCCCCCCCTGCCCCCGCCCCCTCAGTCCCCATTAAGGAAGCCAGAGCCTGCGCGCTCTCTTGGGGCACTTACATAAGACCCTGTGAAACTTCCTGTGACATTCACAGAAAATGTAAGCGGCTATTTTGCTCCCCCCGGAGATCCTTTTAATGGACCGAGTGACAAAATTCACGGATTTGGAATTCAGCAGACCACTGAGGCACATCATCAGCTCAGGGACAGAAAAAAATCCATCCCCACTAAACAGGGTCACTGGGGGGAATGGGGGGGTGGGGGGTAGACTCAATGTCAGAGAGACAATCTGTTCCTCCGAGGTGACCCATTTACAATCAGACTGTTCCAGGGGGAAGCTCGTCGGTGTAACAAATTTCAAACAGGCAAGACAGGCTTTGCAGAACGGAGGCTCCTTAAAGAGAGCGTGAAAAGAAGGTAAGAAGGCGATGAAGAAAATAACTTAAGGATGCAAACTTTGGAGCCAGGCACTCCACCTTCAGAAGCAGTGGCGTTCCCCAGACTGCCTGGGTCGCTACAGACAGATCGCTCGTCACAAGCAGCCTGGTGACACTCCGGTTGGGTTTCCTCTCCACAGACATCGCTGCCACCCAACCACTCTGTCCTATAGAGGGACTCGCTAGCTGTGGCTGCTCACCCCAAATCCGCCTCCACTCTCTGCAACGAAAAGTTCTTCCCAGCCTCAGGAAAAGGCAGGTGGGGATCGTCCAGGAGGGATCGCTCCAAACACAGAAGACCCCCTCCACCCCCCAAAGCACAGGGGGTTAGGGGTGAGGGGTGCAGACACATCCCCTCCTGTTGCTAACGGGAATTTTCTTGCTGGCTCCCTGTTAACAGACCTTGTGCCTAGAAGACTGGCAGGCCCTGGGACGGGTCCTGGGGACAAGAGTCTAAGAGTCTGGGACTTGCACTTGCAACCTCCTCAGGGCTCTGGGCCCAGGCAGCGGAGGGTGTGACCACACGCCCTCTCTCCGCGCCAGTACAGGGGGTACCAGCTACAGGTTCGGAGAACTTGTCCAGCGCCGCTCACCGGGCGCCCCGTGGCGGCTCCCTGGCACCCCGGGCACTTACCTTGGCCGTGCCCGCTGCCAGGCAGAGAGAGACCGCGA